TAAAAACGATTTCTTTTTTATTTTAAAGGGGGGGGGGGGGGGGGGTATTTGGAACAGCTAAATAGCAGCAGTGTAAAATCAGAAACTGTGGAAATTCATGAGCTCACGTTTGCTGTAATACTGTGACACAAAAGCACTGGTAAGCAATAAGGACAGATGGAAAATATCCTCTGTATATGCGTGTACCCTCATGAGTCAAAGCAGCAGCATTGAAAAGAGAGATCCTTAATTACATGAATAGTTTCTAGCACAGATATCTGGATATAAGATACACAGACATTACCATTTAAAAGTTTGGGGTTTGTAAGATTTTTTTTTTCTCATGTTCACCAAGGCTGCATCTATTTGATAAAAAAAAAGTAATATTATGAAATTATTACAATTTAAAATACAAATTGTAAATGTTTTTTTGTTTTAAATATAGATTAAAATGACATTTATTTCTGTGATTGCAAAGCTGAATATTCAGCATCATTACTCTAGTCTTCAATGTTACACGATCGTTCAGAAATCATTCTAATATGCTGATTTGGTGCTCAAGAAACTTATCAATGTTGAAAATAGTTATGCTGCTTATGTTTTTATGGCAACTGTAATGCATTTTTTAGGATCCTTTGATTAGAAAAGAACAGCATTTATTTTAAGTATTCTTTTTGTATCAATCTTAAGTCTCTACTGTCACTTTTGATAATTGTAATGCATTCTTGCTGAAAAACGTATTCATTATTTAAAAAATTGTACTGACCCCAAACTTTTAAACTGTAGTGTACAGTATGCAGTCGTGCAGGTGAATTACCATTTACATGTGTATATTTATAAAAAAAGAAAGCCTGATAAATCCATAAGACTATTACATCACTGCAAAGACATTTGAGGAGAAAGCATTTCTCTTCATAACACCATAAGCATATTGGCTAAAATATAAAATATGATTAAATTAAAGCTTAAAAATGAATCATTCAAGTTTTATTTGGTGGGTAGTCTATCTTTAAGTCAATAAGTATTATTCAAGTATTATTATTATTATTGATATTATGTGAATCTTACCACATACCCAAAGTTATCTGGCTTCTGAGTGATGCATGATGTCCCTCTAGCAAATCAAGCCTTAATTTAAGCATTTTAACTGGGCAGTCGAGAACTGTAATCTGGATAAGGAAGTGTAACTATTAAACTACAGGTTTATTAAAGTGCAGGGAAATGAAGTGCATATGATGTTTTTGTGTTGTTCAGAAAGACAAGCTTGCTGAAGTTGCTCTGACGGTCTTGGCATCGTATGACAGGTCCGTGGGTTAAATAACCTCTGAAGCATGGGGGAAAACATTAACATTTTGTATACCAACTAGGGCTGCACGATAAATTGCATGCGATATTTACTGACAAGATGCGCGTTAAATATCGCATGCGATTTATCGTGCAGCCCTAATACCAACTGTATAACGTCAAATTTTAATTTACTTAAATTTGATGTATTTACAATATAAAAACAGGTGGCATGCATTTAATAGTATACTATACCAAGTAATGATTTTTTTAACACAGATGGTTTTTGCTTTAGATATCTTTAAATTATACTTAACTCTTTAATAACAGTTCTTGCATAATATTGAATCTAATCCTTGAATAATCAAATCTAAACTTGAGTTGCATAATATTAACTTAATATATTTATTTTGGTTTACATGCAGTCAGGTGAATGCATTCACATACCGGTTTGCTGATGGGCTTGTATCTCATCCAGGCCAGAAAGACTGCGGAAGGACCGTCGCTCCTTGAAGGCCACAGTAGGAAGCATATCCTCCTCATCCCTCAGCTCCAGTTTTGGCGTTTTTCCTGGACCTGGTAGCCTGATTACAGGCTTCATGTTCTCACAAGGCAAGTTGTCCTTCACTGATGCAGTTTTCTAAATGGGACAAAAAGTGAGCAGGGCCTCTAGATGTGGCATAAACAAAGCTCCTGCCAGTGATAGTCTTACCTTGTTATCAGAGTCTGTCTTTCTTGTTCTTTTCATGATTTCTTCCAGACGCTGATTTGGGAAAAATTGAAATCACAATATACATTAGGGTCGGTAAGATTTTCTATGTTTTTGAAAGAAGCCTCTCATGCTCACCAAGGCTGCATTTATTTAAACAAAATACAGTAAAAACAGTAATATTGTGAAATATTATTGCAATTTAAAAATAACTTTTTTCTATTTGAATATATTTGACATTTTATTTATTCTTGTGATGGCAAAGTTGAATTTCACAGTTAGCTAAACGGCTGTCTGTTTCTAAGTTGTACCTTTTTCCTGTCTTGGCGTTCGGCCTCCTCTTTCTGGAAATGACTCTCTCTTTCCAGTCTCTGCTGCTCTGCCAGCACCCTCTGACGAGCCTCTTGCTCTCTCTGAAAGTACATTATGGAGATTATAGGATTTTTATTTGTATTACTTCCAATGATCCTTTTAACATGATATGATCCTAGCTTTATTTTAGGCAAAAAAACAAATGGTCAGAAGCCAAAAAACTTGACCAAAAGACAAGTAAGATGGTATGTCAGTGAGAGGAGCATAGTACTATATAAGCCTGATGTGTGTATTTTTTGCACCAAATGGACAATATTGTTTTCCTGAGCACTTCCCCACTGGTCAAATCGGCCACAAATTAAAGCCAGAGCTAAACATTTATTCACTTTTTGGTTACACTTTCAAATGTTTTAACATAGGTTTGGGAAAATGGTTTAAACAGCCAAAAGCTTTTAATACCTGCTGTTGAACCCTGTTTTCTTCCTCTTTCTGTCTGCGAGTATTTTCCTCTTCAGCCTTGAGTCGCTCTTCTTCCTCTCTCTTCCTCTTCTCCTCCTCCAGTTTGAGGGCCTCTGCTTCCTGTCTGGCTCGTTCTTCAACTCTTTGACGGGCCAGTTCCTCTCTGCTCTTTCTGCAAAGATGAGCTGCACAAGCTTAGTTAGATGCCTAATGCACTTTAAGAATTTATATGTCATCATGAAGTTCAAACTCTGTCCAATTACTTCAGCAAAGAACAACTTAAATTGTGGCCTTTTCATTTTACAAATACAATTAAGCACTGATAATCAAAAGCAGTTGTAAAATACTAAGACACAAAAGAGGACATTCACTAATAGAAGAAAGGTAAGAATACACAAAAAAACCTTTCCATCTCCTCTTTCAGTCTGCGCTCCTCTTCCTCCTTCTCTCTCTGGAGTCGGGCTTGTCTCCTTTTCTCAGTCAGCAGGCGAGTGGCCTCTTCAGGGTCTGTAGTCCAAGCAGCAGCTCTGACTTGTGCTGTCTCACCAATCTGACTTGGTCCTGAAAGTGAAAAAATGTAGAGAGAGAGGAATTTTTTATATATTTATTAATGTCTGAAATATATATATTCATATAGATAACTAAATTATTTATTATATATTATATTAATTAAATTATACATATTAAATTAAAGATAGAAAGTATAGCTAGAAAAAATATATATACATAAAATACATATAGACATACACACACACACACACACATATATATATATATTTGTGTTATTTCATAGTTTTGTTGACTTAATTTATTTGTTCCAAGTAACCTAATGCAGTACTCATCACAAAGAGCCATTTTAGGAAAAAGATTTTAAACAGGATTACTAATATTATTAAAATGTGGGAATTACTGTAAAACGTGTCTGAGTAAGTTTTTCACTAACCATTAGGAATCTGAGAGCCTGCTGGTGGGTTCGGAGGCCCATTAGTTGCTGGATTCGACTGGAGTTGGTTATCTTGTAGACATTGTTGAGCAAGCGTTTCCTCCGATTCTAGATCCCCCTCTTCTGGCAGTGGAGGCAAACTATCTTGTTTAAGTGTGGCTTGTCTGATATGCGATCTGTTCTGCAGCCTTTGAAACGGGTAAATAAAGAGAGTGGGTCATAATGACCAACAGTATAATTTTGTGATTATGAGCATGTGAGGAAACTTAAAGGGTTAGTTCACCCAAAAATGAAAATTAGGCAGCGTTTTACTCACCCCCGAGGCATCCTAGGTGTATATGACTTTCTTCTTTCAGACGAATCCAGTCAAAGTTATATTGAAAATTGTCTTTGATCTTTCAAGCTGTTTAATGCCACTCAGCGGGTGTTGCATTGCCTCAGTCCAAAAGAACTTAAATAAAAATGGTCCATCCATAAAAAAAAGTGTCTCACGGCTCCGGGGGGTGAACAAAGACCATCTGTAGCGAATCGATGCGTTTTTGTAAGAAAAATATCCATATTCAAAACGTAATAATCACTTTAATGTAGCTTGCGCTCACTGTTGTAAACAGAAGCAGCTCCGGGGGAATGACGTATGAGGTCGGCGTTGCGCATGCGCCAGTGAGTCTCGTGAAAACCAATGTTTGTTTACAGAATCAAAGGAAGCAAAGTTTCCTTACTTTCGCAAAGTAAGGAAAACCAGTCTCCTCTTGGCTTATATCGAAATCCTCTGACATTCTTCTTTACAAATCCTCGTTTTGTACTTCTAATTCTTGACCGTTGTTTTGTTTTGATCTCTCCCCTGCGCTTCCGCGTGCGTCACTTCTGAGCGGCGCATGCGCAAAGCCGACCTCATACATCATTCCCCCGGAACTGCTTCTGTTTAGAACAGTGAGCGCAGGCTAGGTTCAAGTGATTATTATGTTTTGAATATGGATATTTTTCTTACAAAATCGCATCGATTCGCTACAGAAGGTCTTTGTTCACCCCCCGGAGCCGTGAGACACTTTTTTTTTTTTTATGGATGAGCGATTTTTATTTAAGCTCTTTTGGACTGAGGCAATGCAACACCCGCTGAGTGGCATTAAACAACTTGAAAGATCAAAGACAATTTTTAATATAACTTTGACTGGATTCGTCTGAAAGAAGAAAGTCATATACACCTAGGATGCCTCGGGGGTGAGTAAAACGCAGCCTAATTTTAATGTTTGGGTGAACTAACCCTTTAAGTTTAGTTTTATTCATTCCTGTAAGAAAGTAAAATCACAAGTTAGATCTCAGCATTTTGCCTCTCTGTCGCCATCTGTGGTTGAAATATAAAATTGCAAGTTACTGCTGGAGATGTTTCTTACGTCAGTTTTGCTTTTCCAATTACTCTTCTACATGACATGCAATGATATAAACCTTAAAATTACTGCCATATAATGCAGCTTTGATATTGTTTCTCAAAGACGGCAGTGATATTAAATGGAAAGACTTTAGCTAAGAGATTGTGCTGTACAAATATATAAAATGTACCATGATGTTGGGAGGACCGTATTCTCTGGTGGGTTTTTGTCCTGTTTGGGCTTGATTTCGTTTGTTGTTGTTTGTAGCTGTGGATTTTTCAAGTCCAGTCCCGCAAAATTGCCTTTTGCCACCTGAAATATTTTTTGTAAAAACTACATGCAGTTCAAAGAATCATTTATTTGTATATTTAAACAAATGGTCTAAAAATTAATGTGAACTCTCACCAGCTCTCTGTTGGTGGTTCTGCGGATGGTGACGTTTGGACTTGAGCTTGCAGGCCTGTTTGCCACTTTCCCGCAATGCACCTGGGGCTTTCGTGTGGTGCTTGAGTTCATGGTATGACATGAGGCTGAACGACGACAAATATGAACAACTGAAGATGTATGGTGTTTTTTTTTTTAATGAGGTGAATTAATGAGGATGAATGAGTACGGAGAAATAGGTTTAAGCAATGAGCATGAGAAGAAGAAAACAGGAAGCCGATATTTATTACATCCAGCTCCAAACTTGTGATTTCCTTGTGATTTGTGAATTCCTCAGTCTAAAGTGATACCTGTGTCTCGTGACAGACACACAGCACTCCTGCTTCTGGCTAGATAAGAGACGGTAGGAGTCTGAAGACGACGGACAAGGTCAATCTCCCATTGACTAAGAGAGCGGCGTTTAGCTGGAGGAGAGCAGAAAGCAGAGCGACTAACAGAAAGTGGTCAGAAAGGGAGTTGGGAAAGTAGATGCAAGGCTAGAAGAGAGTTTTAGTGCCAGTTATTGCATTTTGAATCACATGTTGAAATATTCACCATTATTGTTTTCGTTCTTGTTGACCCTTCGTGAGCATTGGCCAGGTTTCTGTTTGGCCTTCTGACTTTTCTTCATCGTCTTCTGCACCACAGACTCATAACGCTCCTAAAACACAGGATGAAAACACTCCCATTATCCCATACTCCGTATGTTTTTAATCATGGTTGCAAAATCTCCACAGCAATTTTTCATCATAGTTGCTGCAGGCAGTGCTACAGTGTTTATGAAACCCACGCAAACAGATGGTATACACAGTCTAAAATCTAGACATATTTGATTAAATTGGTTTCTCATGATTCTGAAAAGTTTTTGATCTCAAGTTTTATGCTTTAAATTAGTTATAGTAGTTTATATGTATATGTGTGTATATATATATATATATATATATATATATATATATATATGTGTGTGTGTATATATATTAGATTCATTACATGTGTAGATATATATAGATTCTTGACATGTAAAGTAAAACATTTCAAAAGTTTTTTATTTTTTTTTTATTTTGATGATTAGAGCTTACAGCTCATGAAAGTCAACAATCCAGTATCTCAATATTAGAATATTGAGTATATTAGTATTAGAATCAGTATTAGAATATTTACATTTGAGTTTCATTAAATGACCATCCCTACAGTATAAATTCCGGGTATCTCTTGTTCTTTGAAACCACAATAATGGGGAAGACTGCTGACTTGGCAATGGTCTAGAAGACGATCATTGACACCCTCCACAAATAGGGTAAGTCACAGAAGGTCATTACTGGAAGGGGTGGCTGTTCACAGAGTGCTGTATCAAAGCATATTAAATGCAAAGTTGACTGGAAGGAAGAAATTGGGTAGGAAAAGGTACACAAGCAACAGGGATGACTGCAAGCTTGAGAAAAGCCCATTCAAACACTTGGGAGAGCCTCACAAGTGCATCAAGAGTCACCACACTCGGACATCTTCTGGAAAAGGGATTCCAAGCCACTTCTGAAACAGAAACAACGTCAGAAGCATCTTACCTGGGCTAAGGAGAAAAAAGAACTGGACTGTTGCTCAGTGGTCCAAAGTCCTCTTATCAAATAAAAGTAAATGTTGCATTTCATATGGAAATCAAGGTCTGGAGTAAGACTGAAGAGGCACATAATCCAAGCTGCTTGAAGTCCAGTGTGAAGTTTCTGAAGTCAGTGATGATTTGGGGTGCTGTAACGTCTGCTGGTGTTGGTCTATTGTTTTATCAAGTCCAAAGTCAGTGCAGCCGTCTACCAGGAGATTTTGGAGCACTTTATGCTTTCATCTGCTTACAAGCTTTATGGAGATGCTGATTTCCTTTTCCAGCAGGACTTAGCACCTGCCCACAGTGCCAAAACCACTTCCAAGTGGTTTGCTGACCATGATAATACAGTGCTTGATTGGCCAGCCAACATGCCTGGCCTGAACCCAATATGGAATCTATGGGATATTTTCAAGAGAATGGTGAGAAAGTCAGATACAGATGAGCTGAAGGCCACTATTAAAGAAACCTGGGCTTCAATAGTGCTTCAGCAGTGCCACAGGCTGATCGCTTGCATGCCACACCTCGCTGATGCTGTCATTTGTGCTTAAGGAGCCCCGACCAAGTATTGAGTGCATAAATGAACATACTTTAAAGAACTTGAGCTTTTCTGTTTTGCCAATTTTTTAATTGATCTTAGGAAATATTCTAATATTTTGAGGTACTGGATTTTTGACTTTCATGAGCTGTAAGCTCTAATCATCAAAATTAAAACAAAAAAACTTTTGAAACGTTTTACTTTACATGTAATGAATCTTTACATGAAATTACAATGTAATAAATAAGTTAAATAAACTTTTTCACAATATTAAATTTTTTTGTGATGCACCTGTGTGTATGTATATATACGGAACCCCTAAAGGGACATGGTGGTGGAAAAAAAATCAGATTGAGTGAAAAAATTTGGGGTGGGAGGAAAAAATATTTGTCCGATTTTTTGCGTTCTCTCGCAAAACTTTTGCATTCACTCGAGAAACTTTGCGCAAAAGTTTTGTGAGGGAACGCAAAATATCTTTGCGAGAGAACGCAAAAGGGAATGCAAATATCTTTGTGAGAGAACGCAAGTTTCTTGAGGGAACGCCAAAAAAAATTGCCTCCCACCCCAAATTTTTTTCCTACCACCATATCCCTTTAGGAGGGGCTCCGTGTGTGTGTGTGTGTGTGTGTGTGTGTGTGTGTGTGTGTATATATATATATATATATATATATATATGTGTGTGTGTCTGTGTTTTATTATATTACAGTACCAGTATTTGGAGCTGAATCATTTTGTAATTAACTAATTAATGAATAAAAATTAAACATTAATTAAAAATTGAATTAGTTAATTTGAATTTGGAACAAACAGATTTATATATGTAATGTACGGTAATTATTTAAAAAAAATTTATTAAGTATAATTTTAAGAAATATAATTTTATTTTTCATTGTTTTGTTGACTTAAAAATTATTCTGTAATGTGTCTTTTCACTGGTAGTTTTTCTTTTTTTTTTTAATCTCGATCTTTAAAACATCAGTCTAAAAGTTTGTTTTTAGTTAAGTTTGTGGACAGAGTGCACCTGAATTTATATATAAAAATTCCATCCAATTTTTTTTATTTATTTGTTCACTGGAAGCATATATAAAAGCTTTGCGAACAAAATCTCTCCCACCAAACAACGGTCACCATTTTTCTCATGCATAAACTCACTCTTTCTTCTTTGAGCCTCTGTTTGCGCTTCTCCTCGACCGCCATCCTCCTCCTTTCCTCTCTTTGTCGCTGCTCTTCCAACTTCTTCTTTCGCTCCTCAAGGTGTTTCTCGTAGAACTGCTTGGCCCGCTCTTCCCTCACCAGCCAACCACGCTCTCGCAGTGCTACAGTTCAGGTACACCAAGAAAAACTTAAAGCTTTGTTTATTCTTCAATTGGCTGTGATGTTACATGTTCAGAGTAAGAAAAATACCCAGCTGTTTTTGGTAAGCCTCTCTGCGTTCCCGGGCCAATCGCAGTCTCTCGTCCACTTTCAGCACATTTGATTCTAAATTACAAAATAATCATTCTGAAATTTTGCATGCAGCACATAATATAATAAATCCCAACTATGTTGGAATGAATGACATAAATGAGCAACTGGGAAGATTCAGCTCTAAAGTGTGAATCATAATTGACATTTTATCCATGGCAGCAGTGTCAGACACTAGAAGGCTTGGAGAAAGGAAAATGCTAATTAAATTGATGGATAAATATTAGCTATTTTAGACCTGTATTATTTCCATTTCGTTTGCTGATATTAATCTGTGCTGATTTAATGTTCAGTGGAGCACATGCTTTTCTTTTTTGCTTCAGGGCTGTGGGGTTCACGTCAGATCTGGAATCTGGAAAAAAAGAGAGAGGCTGTTTAGTTAGTGCTCAGGAAAAATAGATAAATGAACATCAAACGTTAAAGTCTTTGTTTTTTGGTCTTTAAACTTTAAACTTTTTGCTGAAGTTTACCAAACTCTAACCCAGTTTGAAAAGCAGACAGGCAGGTTAGAAGGTCAGGGTGTGATGATTTACAACATTATGATAAGGAATGCATAGCATAGTGGAAGCCTTCATGATTGATCTCTTTGTCTGTAAAAATTCTTGAAATAGGCACACAATGATGTTACTTTAAACCTTTGAGTTACACATGTATCAGTGTCATGAGTTTCATTCAAGTACCAATCCCATTGTCTTATGGGAGTTTCCCCCTTGATAGTGTAAGTTTGGTGTCAGTAACATTTTTTTAAAGAAATTCACATTTTTATAAAGATCAAAAGTGACAGTTAAGACACTGACAATGTTTTAAATTCTAATGTTTCTGTTCTAATGTTCAAAGGATCCCGAAAGAAATGTATCATGGTTTCCACAAAAATATTAAGCAGCGCAACAGTTTTCAACATTGATAATAATACGAAATATTTCTAGCACCAAAGCAGCATATTAGAATGATTTCTGATCATGTGACACTGAAGACTAGAGAAATGATGCTGAAACCTCAGCTTTTTCATCATGGAATTAAAATATTAATTAAAAATCTTCAATATATTAAAATTTTTAAAAGTTATTTTAATTTGTAATATGATTTTTAAAATATTACTGCTTTTACTTTATTATTTAATCAAATAATTTCAGCCTTGGAATTAATAAATCTATCTAGTAAATATATTTTAACCATTTTAGCCACATACAATAAATGCCTTTTAACCCTGGGTTATATTGACTATTCATAATGTATACATTTAGCATCTCAGTTTCATAATGCAGCAAAACCTAAAAGCGGTTCTTTACAAGCATGCAACATTACTTAACCCAGAATGAATACCCTTGGGTCAAAAAATATGATAATTTAGTGTTTAGTGTACTCTGATAAACCTATTAACTTACTACCCAAGTAGTGTATTTCAACAAACACAGGTTTGGCCTCCCATACTATGCAAACATTTCTCAGTGTCTTTAAAAACACCTCTATAAACAAAAGTTGAGAGCCAAAAGGCAGATATAAAGATGAACATGAGGCCTGTCTCATGCCAGTTTTGGCTTTGTCCTCTGCATCAAGACAGCCCAAGGCCTGTACACCATTACAAAGGCAACATTTGTTTTACTCTTGCTGTGTAGAACAACAAATTCAGCGCCTGACTAAAGAGTACGTGGTGATGGTGAACTCTTAAGGTAAACTTTACACTACAGATCACCACAACAATGCTATCGAGGGGTGAAGTGTGGAGCACGACGGATGCAGAACTGCTGAATTTGCATGCATATTTTAGTCACTTGGTTTAGAAAATTAAAGCAGATGAGACATCAGGGGGCGTTACATAACAGACGTCTATCATGTGATATGAGACCCTTATAAACACATTTAGCACAGCTAGCATCATCACACACATACATAACCCATTCCTAATACGTCACTATCTGAGCTAACCATGCAGAAATGCGTTATTTAGTATATAGTCAAATGGGTATATCTAACAGCTTTATGCCAGCTAAAAGGATCAGTATATGTTTGTATCCAGTATTTTAGGATGCATATGCTCAAAGTTTATTTTGGACACTGTAGTAGCAGAAATGTCATATTTATCATCCGCATCTCACCAACCTCTCTGCTTCCTCGCAGTGTCGCACATCTTCATCCGTCCCTTCTCCGAGATCGCAGCGAGACCCAGCTCTGTCTTCCTCCACTCCCGTTCCTGCTCTGCCAGGCTCAGATGAGCTGGCATCTTACAGTGAGTGTGTGTGTCCGCCTAATACATGTAGAGCATCTGTGTTCCCTGTGCACAAGTCTTCCACTCCAGCCAACGGCTTATCAGAGCATCTCTAGCAGGGAATAGACTGGTTAAGAGAGAGAGAGGCAGAGTGTGAGACAGAAATTTTTCCTGAGGGAGCTTGTGTGAGCAGCTGATTTGCTCCTGTCTGGGCTGCGTCCAGCACACGTGCACGGCAAGCAAAGTCAGTGAGCATCCGTAAGTACAGAGTGCACATGTGTCATGCTCTCACAAAAGAAACCCACCCAGCTGGTAGCAACTGTGGTTATTGGAGGTGTGTTTCCCTTTAAAAATCCATCAAGCTCTTTTCATTGCTTTGGCCGGTCACATTGACGGCATGCGAGCAGCTGCGGCAAGGTTGAAGTATTCACAGTACAACAAAAGAGAGAGTTGGATGCAAGCACTTTTTTTCTAAATGGTTGCCTGGGTGATATGCAAAATTGTGGGAGGCATGACACTGCATGCCAGTGTCCAGAAATAGCAGCAGAGAAAACCTGCTTTCATCCTGCATATCGATTTGTGACATGCAACATAAAATATACAGCCAATTGCAGACCAGATTAAAGGTTCTAGTCCCATATCTTGGATATGTTTTTCACATCTCATAATGCTTTTCTTCTGATTGGCTTGAGGATGTGCTCTCAGACAGAGAGATGACGTTATGCCTCCGCTATCAGTAACAACTGTGGATCCATATTGGTGGCTTTTTATGTCATAGCTCACAAGTATTACATTGCATTTGTCTTCTTTTAGCAAATATTTTCTATCTAAAACAACTCGCAGTACATGTTTTGGGACAATCTCCCTGGAGGGATGGGTTGGGTGAACTCATAAATCACCCTGTCAGCACTCAGTTTTGAACCTAAAAGCTGTAATCTGTAAACCACTAAGCCACACCACTCATGCTTATAGAGGAGACAGAGGCTAGAGTATGTTTCCACACTATTTACCTCATGTAAATTCAATTTCTGTACAAACACCTTTGTCTGACTAGAAAAAGGCTATTGAAAATTCTTTCAATTTTTGCATATAAAAAAAAAACATTACAGACCATTGGACACAAATTGATCGTTATGGGGTGGGGCATGTTGTCACAATGGTAACTATTCAGCAGAAATGTTAAAGATATATATCAAGAATGTTTATTTTAGTCTTATTGATATTCTGTGGTATGTATTCATATTTTGAGTTGGCTTTTATAAAATGTATAATTTTAATTTACAATTTTTATATATTTTTTTTCTTTGCTTGCTTTACATTTTTTTTCAGTTTATAGTTTTAGTAATTTTAGTACTTGAACTTTTTATTTGAACTTTTTATTAAGTTGCCAAGGCAATATTTATTTTTTATATATGTTTTTAATCTAATATTTTTATTTTATTTTTGCTTATCAATTACCAAAAACAAATTTTAAATAGTTTAACAATGACAACACTGGATGTAAAATCAAAATATTATTTTCAAATTGTCAAAAAATGTTCTTTGATTTTTACTCTCGGAGACTCCCTTCTTCCACTTTCACTCTCAGATTTTTCCTCCTCCTTTTATTAGTTACCAAAAATGGCAAGACAGACACAAAACACACATAAACACATACATTTGCACTCGTTTAAGCCTGCTCTTTTGTTTTCTCTGGCAGCCCGCCGCTGGTCTTCTTGTGTTGTAGACAGCTTATAGATTGTAGTGCTGCCATTCTTCAGAGTCTCATAATACTGACTGAAAACACTCAGTGATGAATCCTTTGTTTTCATACACAATGTCACTCTATTCTGTGACCCCGAGTTTGACTTCTTCTCAAAACTTCGACCCACTATTGGACAATTACACTTTGTCTGGTTTGTTTTGGTGGAAAATTTCACCCTTAACCGTCCAGTTTCCACCGTTGTCCCATCATATCCTTTTTATTCTTCTGGGAAATGTTCTCAACACACATACATGTGTTGGCTTGTTTTATCACATTCTGTAAATGAAATCACTCAGAATTAAACTTAACTGCTCAGAGTTCTCAGTTTTGTTTTAAGTATCAACTTTTCACTTCTGTCTCTTAAAAAGAAAGCAGTTTTGACCTAGTTTAGGAATATATTTGAATATTTTAGTGAATTGAAATCTCTGACTTTTGATTGCAAACTCTCTGAAACAATGAGAAGCATTTGATCTCTGACTTTTAGGGCAACACTATTTTTTATATTATTATTTGATATTTGGATTTTTAAAAATATTCATATTAAAAATGCATAATTTGCATTTTTCTCACCTTCATCATTGACAAGCTTGTAATTATTACATTTAAAATGTTGTAATTGTTTTGCAAATAAATGATACATGTAATCATTTTATATTATACAGTTGAGTTACAGGTTTGAAGAATGGGATTAAAAGAAATGGAAATATATTTTTTTAAAAACTTGTTTGACTTTTTTTATAACTTAAAACACCAAGAAAGATGGTTTACCATTTCATTAAAAAGCGGTTATACTGGTTTGATTTGTTGTCATGGTAAAATGACAAAAACAATCCCAGCTAAAGTTTTATACGAATAGTAAACAAGCAATATTAAATCCATAGAATATGCATTCTATATATAATAGTTCACCCATAAATTACATTTACAGTACTGACCATCATGCTGTTCCAAACCTGTAACATTTACATTCTTCTGTGGAACAAAACATTTTGATTCTGGTTATTCCCAGCAACACACTAATTACAAGAGTACGGAAACTTCAACTTCAAAAAGCAAATAAAAACATCATCATGATATCATAAAAATAGTCCATACCACTCTTGCGCTATATTCCAAGTCTTCTGAAGCCGATAGATTTGTGTGAGAAACAGACTGAAATGTACATGTTTGTCAATAAAAATATTCCTCCCTATTGAGCTGTTAACCACTGCGAGCTGGTAATTTAGTCAACTCGAGAACCGGCTCAGTCAGATCCAGTTTCAGACTGTTTTTGCTGAGCTGGACCAACCAATTCATTCAAAAGGTCTGACTCAAACGAATGATTCATTCACAAATCAGTCATGGCTACTTGGTCTGTTTGTCATGCGGAGCCGCCTTATGGCCTGAGAAGACTCAGGTAGAACAATTTTATGATCTTTTTTATGGTATTTTTGTGAGCTTGAAAACTTCAGTACCCGACTTTGGGTGAATGATCCCTGCACTGATGTTACATGTTTAGAAGTCCTTAAGAGAAGAGCAAGAGGCCTCATCTGGTTTATCAAGAGCGAACTGTGCCTTCTCGAGTACAGCTTCCCCCCCCTCATTTGGTGTGTTCTGTTGCTTTAAAACTGCTTCATTGCAGCACTTGCCAACATGAAAACCGACTTCTGCTAATACCAGTGGAAACATTATATGAAAACGTCTTTCTGTGCTAACCAAAGTGCTTCATGAGATAGGAAAAACAGTCCATGTAAAAGGGAGCTTTTGAATTTCATGGCAAGTATGTGACTAACTTTTGTGACAGGGCTCTGAATGTATTTTGAACTAGCTGGCTTATTTTTTCGTGTAAAGCAATTAAAACTGTATGATGCCCACAGTGACTATACTCTCTAAAATGTCTACATCATGTTAAGACTTCTAATTATACACTTTGCCACCGTAAAACATTGAGAAGAGGACCCAAATGATCAAGTACTATAAATGATCATGTGGTATTATAAAAATGACTTCAAAGTTGTAAATAAAACAAGAAAACACTATTTCAGTTTTTCTACTTCAGAATTTCATGTTTAATTTAGTGCTACTTGCTGCTTCTTTGCAATTCTTTATGAAACTTACTGTCAAGTTCTGAGTGAAATTGTTTCTACACCATTTTTTTCAGTGATATAATGCATTCAACCTTCAATTTGTCTTTCTGTAGGTACCACAATCATGGCACCAATCAGCACAGATATAGTAGGCTGGGCGGTCTCAGAGCAACCAGAGGCTGCATTTCTTTCCATAGTCGTCCTCTTCATCGTTAGCATCGCACTCCTCGTTCTCTGTGCAATCTGTAAAAAGTGAGTGGTTTCTGAGTGACTTTTAAGAGATTTTGTGGATTTTTGGTGTTTAAAAAAAAAAAACCTTGCCTCAAAAGATGAAGTCTACTGAAACAGGCAACAATACATGTCCTATAGGTATGTAGCAACAAGTCACCCACTCTGTTGCTGTAAGCTACATACCTAGACATCACGGTCAAGTTTTTCTACTATGGAAATTTGTAAGGAATGAGGCAGGAATGTGGCTCTGTCACAAAACACCGAGAGCAGAATCTTACTCATACTAGCTCATGCTTGACATATGAATACATGAAAGAGAGACCAAGGAAATAAGCAGTATATTGTGAGATTGTAGTTTATGAAGTCTATGCAGACTGTCTGCATGATGATATATAAGCCAGTAGGTCAAATACCAGTTAGCACTTCAGTCTCATTCACATTGTTTAAACTCATTAGAGTAAATGCCCAAAACTAAAAATAAATAATCTTTTTGTAATAAAAAGAAAGGATTTGGTGATTAATTCACGTTCATTTGGAAATTTTACTTTTAGTTGCAGTATTAATCTCAACCACTAGAGGCCAGTCAAGAACGGACAGTGAGTGATGAATGTTGAAGAAATGCAGGTGTTTTTGCACCAACAGTTTTTTTATTTTTTTTTAAGTTAATATAAGCAATGAAATGTATTTGTGTTAATCCAATATAATTTTCAGATACTTTTTTGATTTTGAGATTAATTTACATTTATTTGGCGATGTACCTTCAGCTGTGGTTTGAATGTTGGACACCAGAGGCCAGTCAAGAATTTCAGTGCATGTGGGATGAACTTTAGGCTTTAAACCTTGTTGCACTGGCAATAATTCTTGTTTAGTGACAAATTGGGTTTGTTACTCTTGTGTTTTAAACAAAAAGACTAAACTCATTCAGTGCAAATAATCACCAGAACCATGACCACAGACTTCATCAAATCCTTCAAATCATTTTGATTTATTACTTTGCAGACATTCATTTGAGTTAGACAGCCACAGCACACCCGAGCAACAGAAGGCATCCACACTTGTGAGCGTGGTGAGTGTCATACTTTGTAAAACCTAAATGGGAATATATATGTGTGGTGCCTGTGTGCGTGTACACACTGCTGTTGAAAAGTTTGGGATCAGGATTTTTCAAAAAAAAATACTGAAAAAACAGTAATATTGTGAAATATTATTGCAATTCCTAATATTGGTTTCCTATTTTTAATATACTTCAAAATATAACTTATTTGTGACACAGCACTGAATTTTCATCAGCCATTTCTCTAGTCTTCAGTGTCACATTATAGGTAAAAATCTTTGAATCTTTGATGAATATAAATTTAATAAGAACAGCATTTACTAACAATAACAATAACTAGCACGAGCACTAACAATATAAGCCTTTACTATCGCTTTTTATGCATTTAACACATCCTTGCTGAATAAAAGTATGAATTTCTTTAAAAAAAATAAATAAAAATGTACTGACCCCAAACTTTTGAATAGTAGTGTATATTGTAACACACAATTTCTATTTTGAATAAACACTGTTTATTAACTTTTTATTTATCAAAGAATCCTGAAACAGGTCCTAAAAAATATTAAGCAGCACAACTGTTTTCGACACTGATTATAAATCAGCATATTATACTGATTTCTGAAGGATCATGTGACACTGAAGACTGGAGTAATGGGTGCTGAAAATTCAACTTTGCTTCACATAAATAAACTATTTAAAAAATCTTATAAATAATAAAAATATTGAAATATTTATTTTTCCTCAAACACATCAGCCAAAGATTTGGAATAATTATATAATTTAGATTTTTAAATTTTATGATCACCAAGACTGCTATTATTTGATCACAATAAAACAGTAATATTGACAAATATTAGTACAAAATGTAAAATTAAAAACTAACTTTCCTTTCCTTGAATATATTTTAACATATAATTGTTTTACTGTGACGGCAAAGCTGATTTTCAGCAGTCATTATTTCAGTCTTCAGAGTCACATGATCCTCCAGAAATCATTCTAATATACGGATTTGGTGCTCAATTATTAATAATGATTCTTATTATTGTCAATGCTCCAAACACTTTGGTGTTTTAATATTTTTGTGGAAACGGTGATAATTTTTTCCAGACTTCTTTGATGAATAGAAGTTCCATGAACAGCATTTATTTTATTTTGGTAACGTTAGAAATGGCTTTACTGTCACTTTTGATCAATTTAATGCATCGTTGCTGAATGAAAGTATTAATTTTAAATAAAAAAAAATTTCATTTTAAAATATATTCAGATATAAAAGTTATTTTAAATTGTAAAAATATTTCTATACAATATTACTGTTTTGTATTTAGTATATTGCAGTGTTTCTATAAACTATCATATAAATGTGATGTAAATATTGTGCTCTATTGTAAAACTCAACTGAACAGGCAAAAATGGATGATTCAAGAGGTGCCAGACAAAACCCTGCTGCTATTGACATCACAGAAGATGAAATCGGTAAACTGAGTTGTCAATGACTATGAATTTGTTTTGAATCTGAATAGCTGTTTATCTCTTAGCAATGCTATCAACCCCACTCAGCAGATGCTCTTTAATCTGGTCTTTGAAGGTTTAGAGGCTGTGGAGGGTGACGTTGCGTACAGACCGTGGAGAAGTCACACTCTCACTCACGGTATGTCTCTCCAGGACTAAAGTCATTTAATCCCAGTGAAATTGCTTCACTTCTCCCCACACAGGATGATCTGACGTATGACTATATATCTGTGCTTTCTGCAGGTTCAAGCCTACAACCTCAAATAAATGGCGGGTTTGGGACAGCGACAGAGGGTTCGGTAACACTTCAAGCTCTCTGAGAAAGTGTAAGCACTTCGGATGACCCTCTTCAACTTTTAAAATACTCTTTGAGTGAAATTGCACATGACAATACAAACATATAAGTACCTTTCTTATTATTTTTTAATTCAGGTGACAAAAGTGGAGTCGCTGTTGTAGGCGAAACACCACCGACTTTGAATGCCTGCAGAGAGCTCCACCATCTTTATTATGCAACCTCAAATGCTCAAACTAAACAAACCCCTACACTATTTGGAGTTAAATGGTTTCTGTATCCTTCTGAAGCCAGGCTGAGGTCCTGCTTTGTGGCATTGACTCCCATAAGTGCCCATCAAACTTTGAGACTATAGGAACTACAGGAGCACCCGATCGGTCCCTCAGCATTGACTGGACTGATTCAAAGCTGAATACTTATGCAATGGTTCAGACAGTCTCTGGCAAGAATGGTCAGTGTCCCTTAGGGGAGGGAGCCTGATCTTCTGGCCACACCTGTTTTGACAAATAGGGATCTCTATTCAGGTGGCCACAGATTAAACACAACATAAACAAGAAAATCAGGTGTCATCTCCATCTGAAGAGGAGGGGGAAGTGTCGGCATCATTACCAAAGAGACCTAAACAAAAATGAAGGTTTTCCTTTTAATCTTTTTCTAATGAAGTCCAGTATTGTGAAATTATTCTGTATTCATATTCATTCTTAGTAGGGGCGCAATATAGACTTTATCTCTCAGATCAACTGGTCTGTATATGTTTAAGTTTATGGATTTAAATAGCAGCATACTAGTGATTACTTTTAGGTTTTGAATAAATGTATGAATTCCAGTGGGCATGAATGATGTAATTAAAGTAACAGATGCTTTAGAATGAACCCTCTTGTTCTGGTGAGATTGACTTTATTCTTTTATTAAGGGAAATATTTGCTCCATAGTATTTGGGCTTTTATTTTTCTTACTTTTTGAACTTTTGTGAAGGCATTTAGAGGCTGAAATTCTTACATAATCTTTGAAATAATTAGATCTGAAATATTTTTCTTTAAAAATAAGAAGCAGGGAGACAATTGTATTATGATTTTTGATACTTCTCTGCTAAATTAAAGTCACATGCAAGAAACCATTTTAATGACTCGGATGCATGATTTTTGTCAAATATTTGTGACCTTGGAAAATTTAAGAAAAAAAAATAATGAGTCAAACATTTTGTAGACATTTAAAAAAAAAAATACATGTATGAAACCAACATGCATTTGGATGAACTTTGTATAAGGACATGGTTTCTTTTTGTAATTTTGACATCCTTTTTTGTCATTGACCCTTATATTAAACAGAAACTATATTGAACTCATAACTAGATCTAAAGTAAAAAAAATATGTAATATATCAAATATTAGATAACATAAAAGGACGCATTCACTACAGGGGTATTTACCACAGAATCTTACATTGTGACAACATGTTACATTTATTAATGTCTTATGCCTGGGGTTTCTGTCTCACCAAACATTATTGAGGGTGTTTTGATTCATGTTCAAGTGGGCATTTTGTTTTTAACCAGTTCTTTAAAGATTAGTCAAATCTCATGAATCAACCTGATACGTAAGTGCTAAGCATGATTTGGATTTATTGATGTTACAAGATCTTAAATTTGCATGCCTCATGTAATAAATTCTTAATGTGGGTAATGTTTTTGTTTTGCTTCTAAATATACACACAAATACTAATACACTGTGAAAATATAAAAATCACACTGCACAAAAAGTTTGCGTCATGCATTTATCATAAACCTATCAACACATTTGTCTATTTGTTAGTCACACGTAGCTGCCAAAACCTCGAAATCGTGGAAGTGACAACACCCTTTAAATATACAGGCTATATATATTTAAACCTATTTCTTTGACCTATTTTCTGTACCGCTCAATGCTCACGTTCGATGGCGAGTAAATAAAATAACAATAAAAAAAAAATACTGTCAGGTTTAAAGCCCCTCTTCACGTGACGCCTATCCTCGCAGTCTTTGGGAGACGCAGCAGGATCTCTGACCTCTGACCTCTGACCGACGTACACAACCGTTCTAGCACGTGTATGTGCTTTCACGCACGTACGCAATCATTGGCCTCAACTGATGCACGAGCGCAGCGCGTGGGGAGCTGCGTCACAGCGATCGGCCAATGGCGTGGGAAAGTTCGAATTATGTAACCCTTTCATACCCTCCCCCTTTAGAAAGCTCAGCTACTGAAAAAAGGAAAGAAAGAAAACATTTACAGGGGGCATAACACACACAGTTTCACCCAATCTCATGTTAATCTTGAGTACCTATAGAGTCGAACTGCGTCCTTCATATCTCCAAAAAGTCTTTAGTTGGATCATATTTATAAAAGAAAGATACAGCTTTCCGATTCTCTCCGGAAAAAGCCGAGCTCCTGGAGGCGCGCCGTGGGCGGGGCTACAGAGAGACGAGAATTGTTTTTTGAAACGGTCCATGCTTAGCATGAGAATTCTTTAACAGTGTAAACAACTCTGACTGCATGAAACAGCATTGTACCCCCACCCCCCTTTTTAAGAACTTAAGATGCTTTCTATTGTACATTTAAACACAACATACCTGCTGTTAGGTAAACATATAGATTAACCATCTCATAGCAAACCATTACAATGAATCGACTCTCGTATTGTTATTGTTATTATTCATTTTTTTTGCATTTTCTGGTTCCAAAGCACCTTATGATAGAAACACAAATTTATAATTTTGCAAAACAGTTGAAAACAAAACACTTTGAGTTATTCAAAAACGTGAAGACAACTCTGGTCAAATCTTTTGCATTTGAATCACTTCATGTTGTATATTTTATAACAGCGTATATTTATAGCATATTCTTTACTGAAAACAAGTCAAACATGACCCCGAGGTTAATCCTATAAAGGAAATGCATACAGTGCAACATCAACCAGCCAAACAAATCCTGCACTTTTTGCAGACACCTATATGGTTGTTAAATTATTGCAGTTTTAACGCACACTTTCATGCCATGAAATAAAAAGCATAGAAATATAACAAATAAGCAGGAGTTCGCGTTTTAAATCGTTATTTGCACAGTATGTAGTCATTTGCACGTTGTTTCTCTGCATTCCTGTTTAAATGCATTTTACAGGAGCAATGCAAAGCCGCAGAGTTTAAATAAAAGTGGTGTGGGAGTACGTGAAATACAGTGCGCTATGTGTGTCCATTGTGTTTCTTGACCCTTCCTCAACTTCTGCGTAAACAAGTTGGAATTGTAGGGCGTGTGTCTTGGAAAGCGGTGTTTAGCCAATGAGCGTCGACATGCCTACCACATGGTCAGGTTGTTTACTACAAGAGCAGAAGCCCGCTAGAAGGCGCTGAGTGGAAAACCCGGCACCGGATTACGCTGGAACGGCTCCTCTCTGTGAAGACGGAAGCAATGCGGATTCAAACTAAATCAAACAGAAGCTAGCCTCATCCATAGCGTGTAAAGTGAACACTGTAGATTAGAGGAGACCGCTTTAATAGTGGTGTTCTTACGTGTGCTTCATCAAACATGTACAGGTACGTGTAACCGTTAAAAATCCAGGCCGGGATTTTGAATACTTAAACGCAAGCCGATCTGGGCTCTGAAAAAGGACATTTTCAAGTTACAGCCGGTCAGAGCGAGCCTTGTGGAAAGGGGGTGTGTAGAAATTTGGCAAAGGTACGTGCGCAGCGTTCATTGAAAGTTTTTCCTCTGTTTAAATGCATTCGTGTCTTATCGTCGCTCTGTATGCTTCTCCATCAAAACTGCATTGTGTGGTGCCATTGAGGTTAGTGCATTATTATAGTGAATTAATATGAAAAGGCTTTTGGTTGTTTGATACTTGTGGCTTGTTTATGCGATGCTGTGCTTCGTTTTAAAACCTTTTAGGAGAAAGATTGTGTTAGCTGTCTGTACTGATTCAATATCAACACAACTGTTGAACTTTTGCATTTGTTATGAAAAACAGTTTCCGAGAATAACTGTGAAAAACATTCAGTTGGTTCAGTAATTCGGCCTTAAAATCTGCAAAAACGAACTTTTTCGCATTGGGAGAGATTAACTGTCCAGCTGCTACATGCTGGTCAGTTCTGCAAAGACAGCATTTAACGTCGCCATGTGGGGAGCAACTCAAACGCTGCTATTAATGCTGCTCTGAATAAGCGAATCCTGAACGAACGGTTCTTTTGAGTTCGATGTATCTTCAATGAATTGATTGAGCCGGTTCACAAAACCGGTCTGAACGTGAATGAATCGGACTGGCTGTCTTTCGAACATGTCCGACACGAGTCGTTTTAATAGCCAAACAGCGGAAATGTTACAAATAAAACGCTTATGAATGTAAATTTATACAAGGCAGAGTTTGTTTATTAAATAAAACGTGCAGAAACGTATCAGCCCTGAGATTGTACAGTGCAAACTTAAGTTATATGTTCTTGAACATGACTCTAACAGAACGAATGGGATAGATTAAATCACAGTAATCACCTTCATTAAAATAAATAGCGCTACGTGCCTGCATGGCGTCTTTGGAATGTTTTAGAAGCGTGTAATATGCCACGCCGGTGTTTGAGGGAACACGCTAGACATAATTGCCGAATCGTTTTTTGAACCGGTTCTTTGTAGTGTTGAGTCGTTTTTGAACGAATCTTTAATGTGACTCGGGAAGAACGAGTCGTCTTGGGGAGTGATTCGTTCAGTCGCGCATGCGCAACATCCTATAGGTTCTGTACTGGAATTAGTCAAGTAGTTCACCTGGTTCGAGTCTTCGGGTTTTCCGAGTCGTTCGTTCATTACGTGACAGCCCCATACACTTAACCAATGCAGTCTGAGCCGGAAAGAGAATTGATTAGTTCATCTCTCGAGTCTCCGGGTTTGAGTCGTTCATTAATCACGTGACAGCCCCATAAGCCCAAACCCGAAGACCTGTCAGATAAGAGGTGAGGTGAGCTAATCATAGACTGAAGACTCAGGTAAACAATGAATTCATCTTTTCTGTTTCTTATCGCACTTTTGTATTGTTTGTAGTTTGATCAACGTTTGCGTTAGTAGTAGACGTATTAGGGAAGTAACACTTTGCTAAAATGAACGAAATGACTCGAAAAAAAGATTCGTTCATTTTGCTGAACGAGACTCCAAGGTCCGAGTCGGTCAAATGATCCGAACTTCCCATCACTAGTTCTTTGCAAAGAGCCTATTAGCGGAAATAAATGGAACATTCTATCGCTAGTTCTAAATGTGCATTCGTGTACCAAAACCATTAAGTCAGGCACATTTTATTTTCTTCAACTTTTATAATCACTCCAATGTAATTAGACTGCGATCTTTAACAGATTTACGAAAGGAAAACGGATTTTGATGCAGGATGGATGAAAAAATAAATTCACAAGTGAGAAAAAAATAAGTTGGTTCTTAATACTCAAAAAAAAAAAAACTAGCAGTGAAATTGTAATCGTTCACATCTGCTATGGATACTGTACATTCTAACTACTGCATGTTGTGCAACATTGACATGTCAACAAGAGGTCAAAACACAATATCAAGTCAATCATATAACACAATATCAAGTCATTTTAATGGTTCGCACAGTATTTTTCTGCTCGGTTGTTATTCATTTGTCTAATAGCCTACCAGTTCTACAGTTATTTTAATACCAAGTGTTGAAAACACAGAAACTGTGGACATTTTTAATGTCTTTACTTTTTAGCATCTAGCTCTTGTCCACTGGTTTACAGGATATTAACATTTTGGATGAAGCACATTCACCTTTATTATTACGACTTTATACATACTACTTGTATTTTTTATTTGTATTATTCTCTCTTTCATGCTGTCAAATGTGTAGTATTTGGCAGCCAAGGAAATGTTTCACTTCAATCAGTTACAATTACTCTGAATCATCCTTTACTGGAACAGAGGAAACCTAATACTTGACAGCAGCTGGTAATAATGCTCAATTTCTCTGCTAAACTCTTGGGTGAACGTACTGAGGTTAGAGGGCCTAGCATGACCATAGCAGTTTTATGACTCGCGTCAGTTTAAAGTAGTTTTTGCCTGGTTCGTTCTGTGCTGACAATGACTCATAGTCATTGTGCACAGTTGCATGTAAACTTCAAATTTTGCATCATTCGTCCTTTGATGCCTTAATCATTTGACACTTAGTTGCCGGATGTTTCACACAAGGATGGTTGGTGACTCAGACTGTTTTCACTGATCAGATTGAACAGGTGACAACAATGTTGAGACTAATACTAATATTTTGTACATGCATACACCAGTGTCCTGTCTTTCATTTGTTCCCGAATTTCATTTGTAAATGAAAATGTAATACATTTGTAATGGTGCACGTTTAGATATATTATTAAATCATAGGCTATATATGTATTAAATATGATTTTATGTCATAAATACTTTTTTGTTTGGATAGAACTTTTGGTCGACCATTTGGTTTGTCAATTTCCAGTGCTGATACTGATATCTAGGGAGCAGGGTGTCCAAATACAGAGAATTTTTTGGAGGCATAATAAAACCACCAAATGAGACCTACACAAAATTGCTATCTACAGAACATCGGGCTCTCTTTCTGCGAATAACATTTTTTTGGTTTCCTCTTCTCAGCTTCCTGTTCGTCGTTTGAATAGTGCGGCTGAATCTCCATCAGGAGTTCTTCAAAGCAGTCGAGAAGATACAAGGTGCTAGGAACGGAAAATGATACCGAAGACTAGACTTGGGAAACGGTCACCACTGGGCACCCTGGTGTGTGGTTCCTCTGCGGAGGGCCTGACAGAAACGGGACCCCATGGATGCCCGGACAGTGGGCTTCACAGAAGCAAGCTTTACCCGGGACAGAAGGTAGGGTTTATCTATATTTATTTACATGAATGGTATTCTCATTTAGGTGTGGTACACAATGTCAACAATGGAGTGCTCAGCCTTTTCATGGTGTTTTACCTGATATGTTTCAGGTGTATGTGCACTGCGGCGGCCACGAATGTGGAGGTGTGGTCGAACAGCATAACCACGTGGACAATGAAGTGTCTATCTTCCTGCCGCAGCTCAACCAGCATGTTCATCGCAAGCTGGAAGATGTGTGGACGAGCCCCACGTCCAGTTCTACCTCCTCAGTCTCCTCGTCCATTGATGTGCCAAGAAGGTGCGTCTTGTTATAGTTGTCTGAATGATGAATGCTGACCTTTTGAATCAAAAACACTCCATTATAACTCTACTTCGACACTGCAGGAGTCCAGAGACAGTGGACATGGATGAGATTATGGCTGCAATGGTGCTTACAAGTCTGTCGTGCAGTCCAGTCATCCAACACTCTGCTCCAGGGAGCGCAACTCAAGGTTAGTAGAACTAGAACATTACATTAATGTTTATTTTTCGAAATGTTGCAAGCAGCAATGCAATGCACAAATCCGGCATAAACTAGCTGAGATTACTCAACGCTCGCTTAGGTAGGTGTTAGTCACCAAGAAGAAATCTCTAACAACTGCACAAACTGTTTTCATTAGTAAAACGGAGTCTAAACGAAGGAGCTAGTACAGGATTGCTTATCATAATTTATCACTCCTGAAAGATTCTAACCAGAGTAAACTAGAATAAACTGAAATTTTGAAACTTCTGAATAAAATGTTGATCAATATTGATAAAAAAAACTAACTTTGTGAAATATTGTAACAATTTGAAAAATGTTTTCTGTTTTAATATATTTTCAAATGTAATTTATTGCTCTGATGGCAAAGCTGAATTTTCAGCAGCCTTTACTCCAGTCTTCAGTGTCACATTTCCTTCAGAAATCAAAAAACGTTGTTGAAAATGGTTGTGCTGTTTTTTTTTTTTCAAGAATCTAAATGAAAAGAAAATTCAAAAGAACAGCATTTAATTGAAACCGAAATGTTTTATAACATTATAAATGTCTTTACTGTCTCTTTTGATAAACTTAAGGCATTTGTGCTCAATAAATGCATTAATTTCTGTAAAAAAAAAACTTTGATCGCCAAACAGTAGTGTATTTATGTTATAATTTATTGTGCATTGCATTTATGTAGTATAAATTATTTTATTAATTTGTATTATACCATACTTAAATATATTATATATTTATATAATTAAGATTTTTTTTTTTCATAATTAACATGTTGGACACTTGTCCACTGGTTTAAAGGACATTTACGTTTTTGATAAATCACATCTTCTCGTTTACCTCTGTTATTTTTGTTTGTATTAGCTTTGTGTGGAATGGAAAATGGTGGTGGCGAACTGTCTGATGGTGGATATTGGAGCTGCGACCATGGAAATGGAAGCCCCGCCCCATCCCCACCCATCGCAGAGATGGACACGAGCGCCCCTCTCGTCGACGAAGGCCTGGACATGGAACTAGACCAAATGTTGTTCAACAAGCCAACGGCAAGGAAACGCAAGGTACATTGTAAAACCTAATAAAATAATGTATTAGGGTTTGGTTTACGGAGAATGTAGCTTATCGTTGTTTTTTTTTCTCTCGTTGTTTTTCACCCTCTAGAACTCAGTAAAAGTTGCATATCGGTGCTTGTGGCCAAATTGTGGAAAAATACTGACCACAGTAGTGGGCATCAAACGTCACATCCGAAATTCTCATCTTGGGTAAGCATCACAAGCCTTGCATATCACAACCATACGTTCTTACCAGTGAATGCTACAATCTGGGACGTTTTTATCGTAATCATACTGTGTATTATGCTTTCTGCAGACAAAGTGATGAGCACTCCCAAAGGGAAGAAGACTTCTACTACACTGAAGTCTATCAGGACTTGGAACAGACTACTCCCTCTGGTGGCCACCGGCCTTCCTGCACTTCTCCATCCAGTCCCAGCCGGCTCACGCCCACACCTCCCTCCACCCCTGACATGCTCCAGCCCAGCCCGCTCAGCCAGTCCGCCCCGGGCAGCTTCTGGCAGGTCCATTCTGAGCACTCTTACCAGGCAAGATGCTTGACATTGTTGTGGTGCAATTAAATAATGTGTTTCTATTTTAGTGCCTTCAAAGATATGATCAGTGTCATATATCACTTGCATGTAAATTGGCCATAAATGTGGATGATTGTTTAATATGTTGATGTCCATTCCTCTGGCTCCTCCACCCGTTCAGGTTGTGACTCAGAGCAAACCAGTGTCTGTTCCTGTGTCCTGTCATTGGACTCCATCTCTCACAGTTCACCAGAGCAAACAGGTGTGTGTTTTTTTTTTTTTTTTTTTTTTTTTTTTTTGATGAACTGTTTCTATTGTCATCTACAAGGCTGGAGAAATCTCAGCACAGATGTCTTAAAAGAGGGCTTTTGGCTGGCAGTATTTATAGGTAATGGATTGGTTATGCAACGTTTTCTCTGAGGCTTTCAGGACATACAAAGCACCACATGGTCCCAAAGGCGTTCTGTGTTTTCGCACTGGAAATGGGAGTGACATGCACATGTTGTTTTTGTGTGCTTTGTTCCGCCCACATGAAATGTGGATGGTATTGCAGTGACATCTAGTGGAGTTGAGGACACTGTGTTCTCTTTGTCTGAACACATGCTTGGCACTAGGATGAAAAATCATGCAAAAAATATTGTGATCTGCATATTTTGAGATTGCTTGCATAGTTTTAAACATCTTGCTTGCTGATGTATTGTGTCATGTATTAGCCTTAATGCAAAGTTCACAGGTTTGCTGCACTGATGCATTGTTTGTACTGTAGTGTTTGCAGCTGTAATATAACCTGCAGTGCGTCATTCTGTGACTAATGGTGGTCTCTCTCTCTCTGCTCCCCAGGGCTCACCATTCCGCGGTCGTTCAGTTAGTGTTGGTGAACAGTGGCTCCAAAATAACAATGCCACCTTCAGGCCACATCCTGCCAGTGTTTCACCTCCAAGAAACCATTGCACTTCAAGGTGGGATTTGTTTGTGTTTTTAGTAATTATTCAATCTCTTACTGTTCATATCAATCATTTATGAACTTTAGGTTGGATAAAAAAACTTGAGCTTGAAATCAGAAAATGATTGGCATTATTATGCACAACTGATGACTACTAAATATTCTAAAGAAAAAAATTAGTTTTCATAATTTTCCCATCAAAACGTAGTACATTTCTCCACCTGTAATGACTTTTTTGTTGACGTAACCAAGATTGGGTGGGCAGGGGGAAAAAAAAAAAGTAATAACATCATAGTAATAAATATAAAACTACAAAATACAAAACTTGTACACAGTACATTTAAATTCTGATGGATTAATTCTAGTCCAGTTCAGGCAGGAAGTTTTTTTTACATGGGTGGTAGGAGGAAAAACACAGACTTTCTGGATTCGGATGGCAATAAAACCACTGACTGGCCCCTAAAAATGTTGAAAATACCTTACGTCCCCATGAGAAACAATTACTGTCCGAATGGGGCTAATGTTGAAAACAGTTGTGCTGCTTAATATTTCTATGGAAACTGTGATACTTTTGTTTTCAGGAATAGAAAGTTCAAAAGAACTTATTTTTGAAAATAAATTTGTAACAATCTTAAGTCTTCACTGACAATTGTGATGAAATATAATGCATCCTTGCTGAATAAAAGTAATCATTTAGTTTTTTTTTAAATCAAACCTGCGCCAAACTTATGAACAGTAGTGTGAAATACATAGTCCACCTTTAAAATGTTGTCAGTTGCTATTTTTATTGTTTTGTATTGAAATTAGATGTCAAATTTAACACTGAATTTCTATCATATTAATAGGAGGATTCGGGGCGAAGCCAAGAAATGCCGAAAGGTATACGGCATTGAACACCGAGACCAGTGGTGCACCGCCTGCCTTTTGTTTTCAGGAATAGAAAGTTCAGAAGAACTTATTTTTGAAAATAAATTTGTAACAATCTTAAGTCTTCACTGACAATTGTGATGAAATATAATGCATCCTTGCTGAATAAAAGTAATAATTTTGTTTTTTTTTAAATCAAACCTGCGCCAAACTTATGAACAGTAGTGTGAAATACATAGTCCACCTTTAAAATGTTGTCAGTTGCTATTTTTATTGTTTTGTATTGAAATTAGATGTCAAATTTAACACTGAATTTCTATCATATTAATAGGAGGATTCGGGGCGAAGCCAAGAAATGCCGAAAGGTATACGGCATTGAACACCGAGACCAGTGGTGCACCGCCTGCCGCTGGAAAAAGGCCTGTCAGAGATTCCTCGACTGAATCCTTCTTTAGATTGCTGGAAACAGAACACTAACCTTACAGAGACAGAGAGGTCTTACCTGGACCTTACACTTACAGAGAGGTCTTACCTGGAACTATGGTTGGAAGAAACCAAAAGAGCACCTTTGTGACTTTTTCTACTTTTTATCGCGATTACGTGTTTTTTTAAATGTGCTAAGGAACCATGTTTGTGCTGGAAGAATGATAAAGCAAAAAGGACAGCCTCTGCCCCACAAACTCCTGCAGTCTTCCCACATCTTAAATCAAGAACTGATGAAGTCTGACATTCTTTTACAAGCAGCAAGCAGCCATATACTTTTTGTTTAATGTGGTGTAAACATTGTCGTCATCAGACATGGATGGAAAGTTTACTTATTCCAACTGAATTGCTAATATGAGACAGGGGTCTTTACCGTGGTCCATTGCTTTCAGGGGCATAATTGGCAGCTTATGGTTAATTGTAGATAAACAAGAAAGCGGAATAAATGTTTTAATAACATATAACGTTTATGTTCATTTATGCCATGTTTACCTGCTTAGATGCAGTTTTTTTTTCTTCGATTTCCAGTGCGAAATTTTGTAAAACAAACTTTTGAAAAGGAAGAAAAAAGGATTTTGTAGTACGATTTTGATATCTGCGATGTGTTCAATCTTATGTAATGTCATTATCAGTGTATTTCTGTGTCACAGGTTATACTTCTGTGGAATGAGATGATTCACTTTTCTGTCACATCAATATTAAGGAATTATCTGTGTAAACATGCATGATCTGATACTGTTATTCGTTTACTTTTGTGCTTTTGCCCCATACTGTGTATTTGATTGTGTTCTTGCCAAAGAGTATCTCAGCAAGATAATACATCATGTACATCTCTACAAAATAATGTGAAATGAATCTGTTGACCATTAATGAGAAACTTGTAACCAACTGTTTGATTGGTTCATACTCTTAATATTGGGTCCAAATATTTTCTTACTTTGTAGAACACTTCTATTTCTTCATATTTTTTTATGTGTAGCTCAACATCTTTTGTAAAGCATGATGCTTTAACAACATAAATCTGAATGTACCTTACCCTGAAGATCTCTGTAAATCTTTACGCATTTCCGACAGTCATGGCCATAGCTGTTTAAGGACATCCTAGTCTGAGAGACACTCGATGAGCCTCATGGAAAACAATCTTTTTGTACATTTTTGTAAAGTACTTCCAAAGTATTTTCTTTTATGAAAAGTCAAGATCTGTTCAAGATAAAACTATAATTTCTTTTCATGAAACTTATGTTGCTTCAAGCCTTTTTTTTTTTTTTATAAACTTTTGTGCAAACAAGTACGACCGTAAAGTGTTACATTTTAATATTTGTCGTTTTGAGGATGACAAGGTGGAGTGCTTTCAGTACGCAGTAAGAGGAACTGGTGGGAAATATTACAAGTTTGAAATCCAAATGAACAAATGATGAACAAAATACTTCAGGACACAATCATTTGCTGCATGACGAGCCACAGAAAATAGTAAACTATTTTATTGACATAGTTCAGTTACTATGTACAGTTCATTTAGTCAACATCATGATTTTTATCATTAGAATAAAGGGAAAAGCATGACTCGGCAATGTTTGCATAAATACATCATTTCATCTGCACAAATACAAATCAACTTGGTCAGTTTCAAAAAAATAAAATTAAAGCTTTTGGTTTCCCACTGTTAGATGAGGATGCAAACTCTGTGTGCATGTGCGTGACAGAATTTGTTATGTTTGTATAGGCATATTACAGTGATGAGTCTTTGCTGGAATGGTTTATGCAAAATCTGGCTTTATTTATTTTTTGGGAGAGACAGTAAACAGATTAGCTTTCCTTAATCCCCTTAAAGGAAGGAACAGTTCACCCAAAAATGCAAATTCTATCAATTATTCTTGCCCATATCATTCTGACTCCATTTTTTTTATTTCATCCTTAAAACAACAGGAGATATTAAGCAGATTGTTAAAGCTAATCTTTTCCTAACATCATCTCATGACAATAAATAGGTTTTGGTGAATTGGTGGCTAATTTGTATGAATTTGTACAATCTCATTCATACGTTTTTGCACAATCTGCTTACGCTCCAGTGATGGTTATGTTTAGGGGTGGATCTTCATGCTTATTGTTTCTTAAGAAATGTACATTTACTGTGTACAAAATTGCCACTTGATAAAATTATGTTTTCCTGTGAGATTGGGTTGTATTTTCCATTCACCGTTAGAAGATTGGGAATTATGGCCCATTATGCTCCAAAAAGGGGCATAAAGAATAGTCTATGTGACTTGTGCACTGTATTCCAAGTCTTCTAAAGCCATATAATAGATTTGAGATTGTTACTGCTTCCAAAACATAATTGGTTAGCGCATGACACATGACAGAATTACAGTGTAGCAGGTTTTAATGCATGCATACGAGATTTGGAAGCAAGAATTAGGTTCACGGCACAGGTTAAGATTCAAATTAAAAACCTACATTTTTGTCTGTTTCTCATGCTTTCATTAGACTGTAATGCTTATTTATCTTCCATTTGGAGCTGAAAATGAGCGTGAGTTATGACAAATGTTTCATTTTTGGTGTACTATTACTTTAATAATTCTATTTTGCCAAGTAATTACCTCTCTATATGATATTTCACCTCAATTTCAAGCATTTTCATGGAGATTTCATTATGGGAACTCTCATTGGCCAATAGGTGGCAGTGTCGAAAAGGAGATGAATTTGGAACCGGTAACGTTTTCAAAATGGTCTTTGCACAATGAACTAAACTACAGGGGCCATAATATACAATAATGCAAATGTATAGATGTCTCAAATTGAATCTGAAGAGTTTTCTTCGAACTTCAAGCCAATATATGTAAGCTTTCTTTGACACAGATTAGATGCTTCAGTCAGTGAGTAAATCCACATCTAACCCTGTGGCACCATGAGAGCTTTTTGTGTTTGAGGAGAATGGTGCATGATATCTTTCGAATGAGCTTAACGAATGGTTTGCTGGGTAAGTTTATTCGCTTCAAAGGACAAAGCTTACTCATTCTGTTGGGTGACATCAGTAGACATACTATTAAACTCGCTAGCTCGAGTACTCATGCCCAAATACTGCTTGAGGAACTCACTAAAACGCTTCTGGTTGTTCCACTTACGGGCAGATTTGCGGACGCCTATGAACCCCCCATATCTCTTTTGCAAAGACCTTCCAGGATCTATGAACTTCCTGTAGCCATACTTGTTTTTGAGGAAGCCTCCAAAGCGTTTGATTAGGTGGACGGTAGCCTCTTCCTCATCGCCTTCTATCTCGTTATCTCCATCTCGCTCTTCCTCAGATTCTTGGGCTGACTGTGCTTGCAGGAACTTGTATTTTTTACTGAGCTGCATATCTTGGTCCTGATCATCCGTTCCCAAGGCTCGTGTCATGTGGTCAAACCTCTGGAGGGTTTCAGAATACCGGCCATCATCCTGGTCCATAGGCAGAAGGGTGTCCGCTTCCTCTTCTGCTCTTTTCAGCATGCCATTGCGCACCGATAGCAAGGCTTTTGGGTTTTGCTCCCCAATGGTCCTGCGACACATCTCCCAGGTGTCGCCTGGAGAAAGTTTACCTTGACACTCCACCAGACACACCTGAACAAAGACACACACAAACACATTACACTGTCAACATCATTATGCTTTAATACAGCCACACTTATAGAACCATAAAGGTGCACCTGTCTTGTAGGCAACTTTATTTTCAACAGTCATTTATAACTCATCTGGCCATAGCTGCTTTAAAGGGGTCATATGATGCTTTTTTAAAGATCATTATTTGGTGTATTTGGTGTAACAGAATATGTTGACATGCTTTAATGTAAAAAAAAAAACATTATTTTTCAAATACTGTACATTATTGTAGGTTCTCTATGCCCCGCCTCTCTCAAACGCTTCGTTTTCTACAAAGTCCCGCCTTCCAACACGCGCAGTCTGCTCTGATTGGCCAGCTGACCCAGTGCATTGTGATTGGCCGAACACCGCAAGCTCTCGTTGGAAATGTAACGCCCCTTACTATAATTGCGAGCTTCATCTTTCAAAATAAATGTAAAGACAGAGCCCGAAAGGGGAACAGAGTCGCGTGACAGACACAGTGATGAAGCTGGTATGTGTTTGCAGTACACAAGCCACGGTTAAGACAGCTGACTCCACTTAGGGCTGGACAATAATTCAATATCAATATGTATCGCGATATAATTTTTTTCAATAACGGTGATATGATTTTTAAACTCATTTCCGATATTTCGATATACATTACCAGTGTTTCCCATACATTGATTTATTTGTGCCGTTTGACTTCGTTGAATAAACATGAGCACTGCACGTTTCAAAATCAAAACAGGGCGCAGGTGTTTTATATGAATGCATCTCTGAAGGGAACCTTCAGAAAAGCTTCCATGGCATTTTCATTTTATCTGATAAAGTAGCGTTTATGAGCGGAGCTGATTTGATTACAGCCGTTACTGGAGCACCCGCTAGTTCCGCCGCTCTCACAGCGCCTCCTGCCGGCAGACAAGCAGTTTGCATTTTTAAAAGCCGTCTTCAGCAACATGTTTTTGTTGTAGCTCTTTATTTATTTTTCTGCAGAAACTCAGTGCACCTTTCATACACTTTTTTTCTGGCTAAAGCACATTTGTTTCAATCTATAAGAATAATCAGCCTACACTACCAGTCAAAGTTTTTGGACATTAAGATTTTTAATGTTTTTTTGTTGTTGTTAGAATCCTCTTCTGCTCACCAAGCCTGCGTTTATTTGATCCAAAGTACAGCAAAAACAGTAACATTTGAAAATATTTTTACTATTTAAAATAACTGATTTCTATTTGAATATATTTTAAAATGTAATTTATTCCTGTGATCAAAGCTGAATTTTCAGCATCATTACTCCAGTCTTCAGTGTCACATGATCCAGAAAACATTGTAATATGCCGATTTGCTAATTATGAATATTTAAAACAGTTTAAGAATTTTT